TAGAGAATTTTAGAACAGACATTTGCTGTTGTACGTGATACCACAGAAATAGCTAGAAGGCAGGACAACATGAACAAGAATAGCCACTGGACCATAAGTAGAATGCGGACACTTAAATCCCATTCATGGTAATAACATGGCTTTAAAAACCTCCTTAAAGCTGTTGCAATTTGGGGCACTGTGGGAAATACATCTTGTGTGTGTCTCCTTCAGTGTTCTCTGGAAATGGCAATTTCTGTTACAATTAAACTCATCTCAAACCTGCACTGGACTGCTCTGTGACTGCTTGAAACCTACAGTACACAGTGACTAAATTCAAACAAATTGTACAACATTTTAAATGACTGCTGCTTTATCTGATCTGATTACTTTCAGTGGAAAACAAAATAGAGAAACTGGAATGAATAGTCTTTTGTAAAATGAATAACTTTTTGACACAAAAAGGAGTACATAACCATTTGCTTCTGATTTTTAATTTTGAGAATTGCTGGTGAGACAGTGGATTCTGTCTCTATTAATCCTACCATCCATCCTGTAGAATTATTAAATCTGGATCTGCTGAGCTGCCTGTCTCTAGGTTGTGAATTCTGGTTTGGATTCTAAAACTGTCTTTCCATTAACTTTCCTTCTCCCCAACTGGACAATAGGCTGAAGTACAGTGACCATTCGTGTCCATTTGGACACTCTTGTTCAGTATTCCTGTCTCTGATGTTCAGTAGTGGCTGTGCTGGTATTAGAGCTGTTCTCCCACTTCACCTCCAGACCTCACAGCCCCTTTCCCTCTTCATGGCCTGAAGGAAAGAGCCAGCAGGGGGCAGCACACAGTCCCAGTGTAAGAACATGAGCCTGAACTCCGGTGTGTTTCTGCTGGTTTCCAGATTGGAGCAGCTCTGGAGCCTGAACTTTTCTACTGCAGAGTCAGAGCTGCTTAGCTGAAGTCACACATTGATCATGTTGCTGGTGATATTGCAGGTCTGAGTGATGAATCAGTAATACATTTTACCTGGGATCTACTCATCCCTTATTACTCTGGTCCTTCACAAGTTCAGATCATATATTCAATTAAATCACATATTAAATCCTTCTATAGTTCAATTTAAATCATAGATCTTGTAAAACCAACAGGAATTCAGTACAACAAGAATGTGATCATTTGAAATCCAGTAATTCAAGTAGTGTTCCAGATTCAGACAGCTAAACCACAGTCATTAATGGACGTCATTGAGCCTTTCTGGACAGTTTGGTAGTTAATAACTAACTGATCCAAGGATCTCAGGCTGTGTTTTTCCTGAAAGACACCAGTGTGTCAGTATCACCCACATGGCTAGGCTGCTTGTTCCTGACTCTAACAACCTTTTGTGCAAAGAAGGGCCTCCTGTTCTCAGTTTGAAATGCACTTCTCTGTAGTTTCAACACATGTCCTTCACAGTGTATATCTTCACAGGGCTTTTTAACTCCCTCTCTCTGGGCTCAAATTTCTGTTTTGGACTCTAAAACACTTTGTCCATTAACTTCCTCTCTCCCCACTGGACACTAGCCTGAAGTACAGTGGCCATGTGTGTCCATTCAGACACTCTTGTTCAGTGTTTAAGTGTCTGTCTCTTGCTGCCTATGTGATTTCCAGGTGTGGCTGTGCAGGTAGTATTGTCCATCACTGTTGACAGTGATTTTGCTCACTGGCTTGAGTGTGTCAGCGTCTTTAGGATTCTATAATCTTGAATCAGACCCCTCTTATAAGATTAGAAATGTTTGGTTCTTTTAACCTTCAATATTACATATTCCTTTGAGCCCAGAGTTGTATCTTGGTCCTCATCTCTGGACTAAATCTCAAGCAGCTAAAAATATACAATGATCTAAATTGAAGCACAATTATACACAGTGTCCATATTGAAACAAAAATATATACAATTTTAAATAAGGCCTTACTGGTGGTTTATACAATTTTAGCAAAATGTCTTTCAATAAATTCCTTGCTTTTAATTATATAACCTAACATGCTGTGTTTCCAGCCAGCTTTGAATATAGATAACGAGCAGGTGGATGGATCTTGTACATCTGGAGGTGAAGAGGCACTGATGTCTTGAACATAGAATCGATGAAGATGGCAGGTTCAGGCAAGATAGCAGTTCTGGCCTGAACTACATTCCCCAGAAATTTCAAGTTCAATATTTTATTGCCATAACAACTAGTTGCATATTATCCGGTTTGGTGAGCTCATTGTATGGTCTTAAAAACATACAATACAAATATGCAACATAAAAAAATAACAGAATGCATCCACTCAGCATATTCATAAGTACCTTAAACACACACCAGTAAGAAGAAGAATAGTGGATCCTATCAAACTCAAAATCAAAATATCAAAAGTGCAGAGTTTATGCATCTCACAGCCTCCGGTTGGTGCTGTTACAGAGAAGGGGATCATCAGTTAGAGCAGTTTGTTTCACCTTGAAGGCAGTGATTAGTTGAAGGCCTCGTCAGACACCTTGGCTGTCACTGGTGAGGGAATTAACTAAAAGTGTTTTACTATAAGTTTGTATTATATCTTGTCAACTATATATCTTTTTACTTATATTTTTCTAAAGCAGTCTCAGGATATCTGGTCTCAAAAGATAACATAGCCACATGATGTCTTTATGCTCAGCTGACATAGTTCTCGGGGAAATGACCGAATGACCTCTCCTGGAACAAAGGGTCAATTCAGCAGAAGGGGCTGCTTGTCACGCAAGCCGGCAGTAAAGGATATATATGTAATGGTCAACTTTCTAGAATGACCATATATACCCACAATGCAAGCAGAGAATTATGTGGGGGTGTATCTTGTATTGTTTGTTCCACTACACAAAGAAACTCTGTAAATGTTGGTTTTGAAGTCTTGTACCACAAGCAAGACTTCCATATGCATATGAAACAACAATGGTACTTAGTTTATTTTCAAGTTTGTTTTTATATTGAGATTTGGCCCTCTTTACTACATCTGGGGGCTTAAAATCAGCAACATCCCCTCCTTTGAAAGCTCTGCTTTTCATTTCTAACGGGGTTTTCATGTCCCTGTTGAATCAGGGCTTATTATCATTGCACACAGTGAATGATTTGCAAGGAATGCATAACTGAAGAATTTCCTGCTGCACTCAG